GAATACTGACGAAAAATATTCATTTAGCACCTCTCCTATCTCTTCGGACTCCACGCACAACTTCCCACTACTGTCCTTGACTGGTCCCAATCTTACTCTAGTCATTCTTTTATTCCTGACATACCTATAGAAAGCTTTACTGCTTATGGGTCAAAGGTGATCGCAGGAGAAGGAAGAGAATTTCAGTTTGAAGTGTTGGATTAGCATAGGTCAGCAAGGACAGAGGTGATGGTTGAATGTCAAGTCTTGGAGTTAGAAATAAGAACAAAATATATTGGATGTAGAGACCCTAATATACTAGGCATTTCTAACATTTGCACCTTTTATTTCATGTTTCTACATTTGCTAGTTTTTAAAAAATCTTGTGTTAGATTTACATAATCTCTTTTTGTGTTTGTTTATTTGTGTCAGGACTGCAAGCAGCATCAGGACAGTCCTTTGCTGACGCTGTGAAAATGGCACCAGCACCAAAGCTAGCAGTCAACCCAACCTGTGAAATAGATAAGGTGAGAACGAGAGAGAAGTTTTGTCTGTGAGTGTATGCAACGGAGAAATTTATTTTGTTGATTATAATAATTTCATACAATATATTTCCAAACTTGATTGTATTTATTGACACGCAGGAGTAGTGCTTCTATTGTGTCACCTAAAGGGTCACTGAACTTAAAAAAAAATGAGCAGTGATGAAATCCATTTCCAGCATTTTGTGAGGATTGCTTTCGAGGCACACTCAGTTCCAAGAGTGGCGAGGATGTAATATTTAATTGTGCTTCTCAAGAGGGAAAGGGCTTTTGCATGGCTCTCAACAGATCACTCAGGACAGTTTGGGAGTCACTGAAGAGGAGTTCAAAGATTACAGGCAGTTGAAAAAGACATGGTTCTGAGGAAGGGTCACTGGACCCAATACATTAACTCTGATTTCTCTTCTCAGATGCTGCCAAACCTGCTGAGCTTTTCTGGTAACTTCTGTATTGTTTCTGAAAAAGACATGGAATTGGAGAAGCAGACGGAGTTGGAAAAGAATACCAAGACTTTAAGATAAGGAGTACTGCTGTAATTGTGCTGCTAAACTATGAGGTTCTTATGCAGTGAGGACACAGGGAAGTCTTACAGGAGGTGAATAATTCTGTTCTGTGAGGGCTCAGGAAGTCCTGAGACCTGTGGATACTCAGTATAGAAACCCTACAGTGCAGAAAGAGGCCATTGACCCATCAAGTCTTCACCGACCCTCCAAAGAACATTTTGACTTGATAGAGGTGTACAAAATGATCAGACATATAGATAGAGTGGACAGCCAGAGACTTTTTCCTAGGGTGGAGGTAGCTATTACGAGGGAGCATAGTTTTAAAGTGAGTGGAGGTAGATATAGGTGAGACGTCAGGGGTAGGTTCTTTACTCAGAGTGTGGTAGGGGCATGGAATGCATTGCCGGAGAGGGTAGTGGAGTCGGCCTCATTAGCGGCATTTAAGCTATTAGATAGGCATATGGATGACAGTATAAGGTAGGTTTGGAGGTTAGATAGACCTTGGGATTAGGGTAAAAATTCGGCACAACATCATGAGCCGAAGGGCCTGTACTGTGTTGTTCTATTCTATGTTCTATGTTCTGTCCCACCCAGATGCAGAACCTCTCGCCCTACCCCTGTAACCATGCATTTCCCATGGCTAATCTACCTAACCTGTACATCCCTGGAAACTGCAGGGCAATTTAGCATGGCAAATACACCAGAGCTGCATATCTTTGGAGGAAACCAGAGTATCCGGCAGAAATTTTCGCAGACACGGGAAGAACGTGCAATCTCTACGCAGACAGTAGAAACCACATACCACTGATAGCTCAGTACAGCCAAGAATGGGCTGTGAAAAGCTCAGAAGCAGTGTGTTTGCAGAAGTGTTTGCAGATGTGCCTGCAGATGTGCCTGAGCAAGATTAGGACCCAGAAAAATCCAGTTTTGGTAATACAGGCTTAGTGAGGCTAGCTATTGGTGAAAAGCTGGAGTTGTGTTTGTGTGTGTGAGAGAGAGAGAGTACTGTGGAATCTTGCATCCCCCGTATTTTACACTTTGTCTGTATTTGATAATCTGGTCCAGGATGATAATAGTATCGTGAGGCTATTCAGTCTTACAGGGCATTACAGGAAGCTCCACGTCTATCTTCACCTGGTCTCCATTTGGCACTTTTTAGCCGGGTCAATAGATAATATTCAGGAGTGAGAACGTTGGCTGACATTTCCCCGCTCCCTCCAATTAAATCTTCACAGCCCAGTCCCAACATATACATTGTAAAATACAGCATTGTGTCAATGCAAACACATTTCAGCTGATGCAAGAAATGACGCATTAGAACATAGAACAGTACAGCACAGTACAGGCCCTTCGGCCCACGATGTTGTGCTGACCTATTATCCTACTAAGATCAAACTACCCTGCATACCCTACATTATACTATCATCCATGTGCCTACCCAAGAGTCGCTTAAATGTCTCTAATGTATCTGACTCCACTACCACTGCCGGCAGCGCATTCCATGCGCCCACCACTCTCTGTGTAAAGAACAGACATCTCCCCTCTACCTTCATCCAATCACCTTAAAATTATGCCCCCTCATAATAGTCATTTCCAACTTGGGAAAAAGTCTCTGGGTATCCACTCTATCTGTGCCTCTCATCATCTTGTAATTATTGCTTTGTCCTCAGCTGTGGTGAACTATCCACAACACTAGCCAGTCTAATGTGCTCCAGCTTTGAGGGGATTCTGTGGATAGTACAGTGTAAAGTTTGGTAATTAAGTTAAGAAAATACTTTAAATGCAGATCTTAAAAGGTAAAAATCTTTAAAGGGTGATTAAAGGACAATGATGAACCCTTCTGTGTTCTGTTCTGCCAGACTGTGAGCAGATTGGCCAATCAATTGAACTGACCTTCAGTCTTGTTCCTGAGTCATCCACTGAGCCTCTCTTTGACAAGACAAGTGTACACATGGGGTCCATTATTTCTTATTTTCTGTTTGTGCTGTTCCCTTCATCTTTCTCATCAATAATCTTTCCAGTTGGTCTGAATTTTCTCAGCATTTTAGCGATGGTCTGGGAGGTTGGAGAGCTGGCAAAATGGCAAGGGAAAGCCTGGGTAGGAGAGCCAGTTTCTCACATCCACAGTACCATATTACCAACATCAGGAAAGGTGTGGTTTGGACACCCACTTGGGAGTTAATTAAGCCACATAAGTAGCCAGTTCAACAAAATCTTGGAAACCCTCTGGCAAAATTAGAGTCAGTGGGAATCCAAGGAAGAATTAACCTTGTTGGAGTCATACCTGGCACACAGGAAGGTGTGGTTGTGGTTGTTGGAGATCAACCATCTCAGCTCCAGGACATCTCTGCAGGAGTTCCTCAGGGTCATATCCTAGGCCTAACAATCTTCAGCTGCTTCATCAATGACCTTCCTTCCATCATTAGGTCAGAAGTGGGGATGTTTGCTGGTGATTGCAACATGTTCACCATCATTCGCAACTCCTCAGATACTAAAGCAGATCATATCCAACTGCAGGAAGATCTGGACAACATCCGGGTTTGGGCTGACAAGTGGCAAGTGACATTAGTGCCACACAAATGCTAGGCAATGACCATCTCCAACAAAAGAGAAGCTGATCACCTTGCCTGATATTCAACAGCATTACTATCTTTGTATTCCTAACAACATCCTGGGAGTCATCTTTGATCACAAACGAATGGACTAACCATATAACTTCTTTGGCTACAAGAGAAGGTCAGCAGCAAGGAATCTTGCAACAAGTAAAACTCACTCACTTTCTTCATTTGCTAACGTGATGTGGGAGTCACTTGCTAGGCCAGCATTTATCACCCATCCCAGTTGCCCTAGGGGGCAGTTAAGAATCACCCACATTGCTGTGGATCTGGAGTCACATGTAGGCCAAGTAATGTCCTTCCCTAGTGGACATTTGTAAACCAGAGGACACTAGTGAACCAGATTAATTCATTCCGATATTAAACTTTTAATTCCAGATTTTAATTGAATTCAAATTCCACCATCTGCCATGTCGGGATTTGAACTCAGATCTCCAAAGTCATTAGATTCAGAGTCTTGCAATAAAACTACTAGGCCATCGCCTCCTGTCTCCTCAAACCTGCCTACCATCTACAAGGCATGTGTCAGGAATGTGATGCTCCTTACTTAATTGGATGGATGCAGCTCCAACAATACTCAAGAAGCTTGACACAGTCCTAGACAAAGCAGCCCACTCGATTAGCACCACATCCACAAAATTCACTTCCTCGGCAGCAGCAGTGTGTACCATCTACAAGATTCACTGAAAAAATTTACCAAGGTTTCTTAGACAGCAAGCCCATGGCCACTATCACCTGTAAGTACAAGGCAGCAGATATACCACTAAGTCACTCACTATCCAGATGTTGACATGTATCTCTTTCAATGTGGCCGGATCAAAATCCTGGAACTCCCTAAAACATTGTGGGTGTACTTCCACCAAATAGACTGCAGCAGTTCAAGAATGCAGCTCAACACCACATTCACAGAGTCACAGAGGTCTACAGCATGGAAACAGGCCCTTTAGCCCAACTTGTCCTTGCCGCCCAGTTTTCACAATAAAACTAGCCCCATTTGCCTGTCCATATCTCTCCATACCTATCCCATTCATGTACCTGTTTAAATGTTTCTTAAATGACAAAACTATACTCGTTTCCACCACTACCTCTGGCAGCCAGTTCCAGGCACTCACCACGCTTTGTGTGAAAAAATTGCTCCTCTGGACACTTTTGTATCTCTCCCCTTTCACCTTAAACCTATGCCCTCCAGTTTTAAGAGTCCTCTATTATGGAGAAAAGCTTTTGGCTATTTACCTTATCTATGCCTTTCATGATTTTATAGACCTCTATAAGGTCACCCCTCAGTCTCCTACGCTCCAGGGAAAAAAGTGCCAGCCTATCCAGCCTCTCCTTTTACCTCAAGGGTAACTATGGATGGTCAATAAGGGCTAGCCTAACCAGCGACGGTCCCCTGAATGAATAAAGAAAGAAAGCATAGTGTGTGTACCTACACCACTGTATACTGCAGCAGCTTAAGGCAGCAGCAGCTCATCACTACCTTCTCAAGTTAAGTTGATGATGGGCAATAAGTGCTGACCTATCCAATGACACACACACAGCATGAATGAATAATAAAAATGTAATATCTCCCATCGGCATGTTCCAGGTCGGAGCGTCCAGTGTTGTGGTAAACAGCACAGTGAAACCTACCAGCTTCCTAGTGGACACTCTTTACGGGCAGTTATTGTGGATTAACTATGGCAGTAGCAACTTCTGTGGCAGTGATGTGGCCAGTGTGGCAGGACCAGGCTTTCTGTCGATCATGCCCAACTTCTTCCAGCCTATCTTAATTGTTTTCAAAGGCACCCAGCCATTGAGGCTCTCTCTTGCTGCTCCAGGAGCCTCAGCAATGGCCACCACTATGTTAGCACTGAGAAAGGCATTGAAT